TGCGGCCCCGGCTCGCAGCTTCTCCTGCCGCCGGTGGAGGGCCACCACCTGCTTTTGTGGGACGGAGACGCGGACGACAGGTCGGCCCCCCGCCTCGCCTCGCGCGCTCTCGATTCGACGGGCGCGCCTCACGGGATGCCACGACGGCTCCGTTTCGCCCGAAAAACCGATCGGGGCGGACGGGTGGCTCCCCGCGTCGCACATTTGCCAAGGAAGAGCTCCGCGGAGTCATTTGCAAACACTCGTTTGTCGGCACAAAGCAAATTGAACTTCAAGCTGACACGCTCACTCCCACATCGAATCCGTTCGTCCGTCGAGCACGCGGACAACATCTTTTGTGCCGCAACAGGAGCTACAGCGTGCTCAACGTGCGCAAAGGTCAGCTGGAGGTCAACGGGAAGCGGTGTCCGGGCGGCAGGGTCAGCTGTCACGTCAAGGTGGACGATGCGTTGTGGGTCGCCACGCACGTACGTATGCGCGCGCGCGCCCGCCCGCCCGCCGCCGCTCGTCACGCGTGCGATTTGGTGTGTTGTCGGTCACGCCGCAGGAACAGGAAGTGCTGGTGTACGTGCTGAAAGACGCGTGTCCTCTCACGCGACCTCACAAACGCTTCTCCTGCCCGGCCGTCGTCACCTGCTTCCTCAAAACGCCGCGGCACGCGCGACGGGTCAGTCGGCGCAAAAAGCGCGCGCGCGGCCGTCGTCCGTTCGCAGCCGCGCTCGCGAATGACGTCCGTCGCCTCGTCCAGGGCGGCGTGTTGGCGGGCACGTCGGACGGCGCGGTGGCGCGCTACGGCGCGGAGGAGGCGGGACTCCCGGCCGAGGGCCACGCCTACCTGTGCTTGCGCGCGCTCAATAAGAGCGCCTTCGGCTTGACGGACAGCGACCCCAGACAGAGGCCCGCCCCCGTCACCTGCATGCTTCTCGTTGGCTGCGGCTCGCAGGTCCGTCTCCGGGGGCAGAAGGCCACGCCCCTTCCTCCTCCTCCCCATTCATCTCCCTTTGACTCTTTCGCCTTCCCCGCCCAGCTGTGGCTGTCCAACGGTCCCGGCGTGCTGGTGGTGGACGCCGCCAGCCTGGCCCCGCTGCGCCGCCTGGACCCGTACCGGTGTCCGTCCTCGGTGGTCTCCATGGCAACGGGCTTCACCGCGCGGGGGGAGGAGTCGGTGTGGACCCTGGACGACGTCACCAACACGCTCGTCCTCTTCCACGCCGCGTCCTTCGCTCCCTGCGCCGAGTACAAGTCAGTAGCCCGCTCGCGCGCTCGCCTACAGGGGCCGAAGCGCCGGCAAAAAAGGACCTCGCGCTCAAAGGGCGACGCCCCGACCGAAAAGCGCACTTCGAGGAAAAAAACAAGAGCCTGTGAAAATTTCTCGAGGATGTCAGAACGCCACAGAACCCGTCAAGAAGTGTCAGAGGCGGCGGCCGAAAGTTGCGCGAAACGCGATGTCGGAACTGGGCCTTGAGCACGGAACGACGACTGATCGTCTCGCTCGTCGCGTGTTTTCCCTCAGCTGCGGCGACCGCAGTCCCTTCCGTGACGTCTTTGCGGTCCGCCGTCCTTCGCCGTTCGGCCCGAACGCGGCGGCGAGTGAAGCCGAGGACGAGGAGGAGAGCGCGAAGCCTCTCGGCGGCGGCCCCGTGACGATCGGCGACAGCGAGGGGGCGGGAACTCAGATCATCCCGCACCGCGATCGGCCGACGGACGGATCGGCGTCGTCGTCGGAGGAGGACGCGGAAGACGACGCCACGCCGCCGTCTTCGGAGCGAGAAGACGGCGAGGAGCCGAGCGCCGACCCCGCCGAGTGCTCGGCGCCTCCTTGTCGGCGGGCCCTCCGGGTTCTGATGGTGAACGACGTACTTTGGGTCTTCAGGTAGCGAACCCGCGCGCGTCCGCCCTCCGACCGTCGGCGCGGCCGTCCCGGTGTCAGTGACCGATAATACGGCGCAACCCCCATCGGACGGACCCGCGCGGGCGTGAAGCCCAGTTGTCCGTTCACCTGAAATGAACACGCGGTACCGAACGCAACGATGGCAAGTAAATGGAGCGCAGCTCTTTCAAAGCCACGAGGGGGGGCGGGGGGGGGG